TCGACTACGTTTTTGAGGAGGCTAGCTGAAGAAGTGAGATGCAGAGCATTTACTGCGCACGGCAGCTCGCTCCTCAAAAGCCAAACCGTCCCACGCGGGATTTCTATACCTCTTTCGCGGCAAAAATTGCCGTGCGCCGCAACTATTCCCCTGAAAGTCCGAAGGATCACTGCACAGTGCTAACTCCATGGCCTGCTCTGTTTGTGTGGTTCCTCGCAGCATTGGCATTGTCCAGGTGGACCTTCCAGAGCTGCGCCGGCTGGGCAAGACCCACCACGCGATTCACCTCCTCCGTATGAAGAAGGGAGTTGGCCAAGCACTTCAGGAGTTTCGCATGGCGGAGCACGCCGCGCGTATTCACTGGATGACATTCTTGGAGGCCCCTCAAGCGCAGCCATTGGCCCCGCTTCAAGGGCAGCAACTGTATCGATGCTGACGCTTACAGCTGTAGACAGTTCTGCTCCTCATCCCCACAGGCACCGAGAGCCCAGACATCATGAACATTTATTCTCTTTTCCACGCATAAGTGACTCAAAGGTACCTCTAGTCGTCCCTATAGACAAAAAGAAATTGCCAGTTGGCCTCATTTGCTGTTATACCCTTATGCTGCTCGATGAAGCTGCGCACATTCCGCTGCCGATATCCCGAAATTTTGTTACAGAGAAATGCGCTCCACAACTAACCTCCGGATAGCTTTTGTGGTTTTCAGGTGGTAGATGACCTGAACAAGGTCTTAGAGTTTCTTAAAAAGCTATCAAAATTTCACATAGGGCACCGGAAAAGTAAGCTGCAAACGAGCACCGTTGGTGATAAAATACGCCTATTATCCGACGAAAAACGCTTTTTAACCCGAAGCTTACTCCTTTCTTCTCTTTTGCTGGCTGAAAATGGTGTCAGACACGGTTTGCTTGGGTCAAAAACTCTGTTTTTAGTCGCCTTCCACTCTGTCGAATTTGCTGAAATTCTCCGCCCGCTGAAATTGTGGTGTAAAAAATAAACGCTAGTGTGGAATAATCATGCTGAATGTGTCTTTTTTAAATCAGTTGCGATCTGGGCTTTACAGCGCATTTTGAAACAATCTTTTGTGGCACCCTGGTGGAGATTAAGGTCAAAGAAAAGGTGAGATGAGTGCGTGTAAATCCCGGAATGATGAATTAGGTCCAACTAGTGAGGATTTAGCAGTGCGTCCCAACCTGGACTATTTCTGCTTGCGCTTTTGTGTTCTTGAGCAGCGCTCCTCGCTTGGCTGGCCACGGAAAGCAGTAAGACAAATCCCATGAACAGTTCGTGCGAGATAAGTTCAGAATTCTTACTATTATAGTTGTTTATAGTTTTGTCCTTTCGCGGCTGCCCACACCACAGCTGCACGAACGTTGCCTTATTTGTACTGTGAGCTTCGGCTGCAGGACGTGCAAAAGATTGCGCTGGACTTGGAAAGCAGCGTTCTTGGCTTAGTCTCAAAACTTGCAGCAAATCAGTGTACGGCAAGTCGCCTGAATCGTCATCTTTTGCCATTTGTGAAAGTTGTGTACTGGATTTTGTCCCTGCAAAATTCTTCAGTTTAAGCAAGTTCCCAAAGCAAGGGGATGCCTCGCCAGTGCATCTTCTGAGTCGTCCTGAAGACTTTTTCGTTCGTTGCACCACACGTTTCACTCTGCTTTCTTTTTGTGGCTATGCAGCATGTGGCCGCTGTGAAAGCACTGTCACCGGCCGACTCACAAGAAGGAATAAAACACGTGCAGAGGTATTGATTACTGTTGTCGGTAAGTCCTACTTTACTATTTACCACATCTGAAGCAGAATGGAATCTGTGCAGGCCACATAGACTGAGTAAACAAAAGTAAAGTTTACGTGAAAGGGAGATTAGAGATTTGTACCTTTGGATTGTAGAAATAACGAAAATTCAGATATCTTTTCTTGAACTAGAGGCCCTAAAGCCATATCACCTTGCTTTGCTTCGACGACTTATGTAAAGATTTCATGTGTGTGTACTCCTTGCAGCATCCCTTCCACCTCAATATAACGCAGTTCCTTAGGCTTCCAACGTCCTGATTCAGAACTAAGAAACGAACCCAACAAATCTACGGGTACCGTAGAGTGATATTTTTACGGAAGTTCGTGCACAGTACACATTACTGAAGATGCACTTCGTTTTGGTGGTAAATGCCCTGCAGCTCCTGGAACTTAGTTCTACCAGGTAGGCGTTACTATATTCTGCGAGGTATCTACACAATTCAGTGGGAAGATGTCGCGAAGATAAGTGTGTACAGGGACTTGCTTTCCGTATGTTTTGTGGAAAATTTGCCGGCATTTCTCCGCTTCTTCATGCCATTCCAAGGTGTGCAAACTCCGCAATTTGCCGTTTCGTTTGTCCCGTGCATTCATGTGCACGATTAGCTGAGCCCTGCTTCAGCGCATAATCTGGCAGCACCTGGCTTGATGGCAAAGATTATACTGGCCTGCAAATGCAGGCTTTGTTTGGCTATGCAAGGCTGCATGTGAAGCCTTAGTTGTTGCCGTGGTAGCAGTTCACTGTATTTCCGTTTACACTTTTTACTGTGAAGGCAATTGCGTGCCCCGGGCAGCAATCAGCAAAAACCTACGCTCATTTTTATTCTGGAGCTGCTGCGGCTGCTGATGCAAAAGCGCCATCTCAGTGGCGACAGTCGCAATACAAGTGGCGGTTTTTTATCAAAATACCACTGCAAAATTTGTCTCCTGGTCAGCTCCCCAAAGTCATCTTCCGTATTTAAAAATCGCCACTCTGCTTAGGCAGCAAAAAGCTAGAGGCTAAACCATAAAGCTCAATCCTAAGGCTCCAAAGGATGAGTAGCTGGAAATCGTTTGCCACACCTTGAATCGCCCCTCGCAAGCATTGTACTCAACGGCCTTCGCGCAAATAAGGCCTCCTGGTGAGCAAATGCAAAATAACGCTACGGTCTCTTACTATGCACAGTGAAGCAGCCGGAAATTCGTAATATATCAGGTAGACCTGCCATCAACCTGCAAGGTAAAGCGAACAGCAACGAAAAGACTTCTAGATGCCTAGCTTAGCCTGTTGCTTACAGCGGTATCGCAGTGTTTGGTTGTAAAATTTCCTCTAATATATAGTGTCTCGTTGCAGAAAGTGTTGGCTTTCCAGCGGAGAGGCTTCCTAAATGCCACAAAGCTACTTCTTGATTTTTTGTGGGAGTTGCAGAAATGTGCACATTATTTTTGCAAAGATAGATCAAGACAGGGTTCTATACATCCCGTGTCTTGTGCAGAAAAACAGACATTATGTTTACAAGGAGGAATTGGAAGCAGACTGACGACGCTCCGTGTCCCGTGTAAGACTGTCGCTTTATTGCAGGCCAAGTGTTTGATGGCCAAGCGTTTGATGGCCAAGCGTGTGATGAAATGCGATTAGGGCAGTGAACGATGCCTTGAGTAATAATTATACATATTTCTTCAAACCACTTGATGTGGGAGCCACTGAAAGCTTCAGGGGAAGAGGAGAACCTTCCTTAACGGGAACTGAAAACCTCTGACCTGTACCAGAGGTGACGAATGCAGCTTCCCTCCTCTTCTATTATTTGTACACTATAAACGTTTGTATATTCATGTATGCATACCACTTATATATTTTCTTCTTCGTCGGCTTCTATCACTTTGCCCACGTAGCTAACAACATTCCTGCACAGGCGCCCCATGACGTGCTAAAGCAAAAATACGTATGCCCAAAGACCACTTACAGAAGCTAGATAGTACTCGCAACCTAACGATTCGATATGCGCCAATTCTTCACCCTGCTTAAGCATGTCGGATACTCGTGAGGTGTGCATGTAAGCCTGCCTTTGTATGGAGCCTACTGTGGGGAGCTGTGGTTTCTTGAACCATTATAAGCTGCAAGGTGCGCGTGTTTCAGGCGATGCTTTAAGCCATTCTGCAAGCTTGTATAATCGCTCCAGCGAGTCATGTAGGGCAAGCTTGACACAGTGAATGCAGCGTGGGGGAAGCCTGCAATATAGTGTGTAAGAATTAGGCCTTCCAAACTGAGTTGCTACGTCGCGACACTGAAATTCAAGTATGTTGAGCGTGTTTATTGCGTGGCCTGAAATAAACATCCAAAGTAATGATTATTTTACGGTTAACCTCTCGTGAGGTGCTGCGGTCTATATAGCGGCGCGGCCCGTCAGGGCCCTAGACACCGCTAAATAGAGCATTGAGGGATATTTTTGCTTTCAATGTTTATTACGAGAAAGACTGAGCAGAGTTTAGCCAGCGCCAAGGATGCCCCACTGAGCAACAGGAGAGGTCGGATGGTCAGCATTGCAGTCTAGATAGCCTTTAAAGCTAAACACTGCCACCTACGCCACTTCGTGCACTATATTCATGCGTTTCATAAACCCTTTTGTGTCGATTTTGAGGCAGAGGGGTCGCCGCCACTATAGCGACCCTAGCCTAAACGAATTTCGCAAGCATACCAACTGGGGCTATCGTGCTTTTCCGGGCCTTGAACTCATCTAGCAATTCACCGAAGCCATGGCGTCGTTAAAACTGGGCCAGAAATCATCCAAATTTTGCACTTCTAAGGAAGTCGTTTCTTGCATCACTGCAAGCCTTCCTTGTCTTCACTGTGCGCACTATGGGAGTTTCGTATCTGTGCTGCCTGTCCAAGAAATGGACTTTCGGGGTCTCTAAATAGTATAACGAGTTTTTCTCTAGGCAAAGTTGCTCACGTTCCTAGCGACAATATTCGCAACCCACAACCGCAAAGTTCAAGCAATCTCTTTGCTAGGAGCTAGTTGCAGGCCTTCACTGTTTCGAAGGGAAACAGGTGATCGTTGGGGCCTACGAAACATGCAGTATCTCCCGTTCGTACTGATGGTATGGTGCATGCAACGCCATTTCCTATTCACGCAGGTGCAGATCCAGGTAGTACTGGAGCTGGGGACTAGATAAACGGCGTGTGGGAAATATGAGCTTAAACCGCACTAGAAAACATGCACGCACCGATGCTATAGAAACACAGAGACCGGCAAAAATGGCTGATAATCAGCACGGTAATTCGTATACGAGAGCCAAAGATGAGCAGGTACCGTCAGATGTGCAAGCTGACGTACGCAAATT